TCCGATCCAATCCGGACCATGCTCACCCCTAATTCTGTTAGCTCCATAGAGATGTTTCGGTTGTTATAAATAAGTATATTTTTTAATTTTTTATAAAAAATTATATAGAAAAATAGATTAAGTTGATAGAAAAATAGAGATAATATATTGATAAATGTTAATTGATATGACACAAATAAATATATGTATAAAAAAATATTTTTTTAGTGCATGCTAAACAAATACCTAATTTCTCCTGTTTGTTAACTTTTTATTTTAGAATATTAAATTTTTAAAATTATCAGTTTCAAATCATTATAAATACATTTCAAAATTAAATAGAAAGATAATGGTGAAAAAAATATTTTAAAATTTAAATTAAAATATAATAATTATATGTCTTTCTAATAAGTTAATTTTATTTTTATTTTTATTTTTATTTTTATTTTTGATAATGGACAAATAAATTGAGGTGGATGAACTAACTTTTATGGATGAATAAATGTACTATAATGAGCTGTACTGTGTTGGCCAGACTTATATGTATTGGTTTTTGAAAATTTTACTATACTCCTCTTTTGAAGGTTTGTATTATATATTCTACTTGTGATATTTATATTTTTGAGTTATAGTTTATTATAATACTAGTTATGATTTAATTATACATATTGTGATAATAAGTGTGACTTATTGTAATATTAGTAATGATATTATTTTAATTATGATTAAAAAATATTTGGTTATACCATATGTAATATTTAGTTATGATTCAAATTATTTATTTATTTTTTAATTATACCTTTAAAAGGATGTAACTATAACATTTGTAATTAATCAACTCCACAAATGTTACAAAGTTAAATATGATACACATCCTTTTTTGTGTGTGTAGCATAGCATAATCTGTTGATTTTATTTGATGCAACTAATTATGAATTATTTAGGTCACGTTTTGGTAATATTATAATTTAAAAAATATGTATGATACATAAGTACTTAAAATTTTTATTTTGAAAATAAGTAAAAGCGTAGTAATGAAAGGTGGTTGTCAATAGTTGAAAATGGTGGTCGAAATTAATTGTTATCAATGGATGGTGGTAGCCAAAGGTAGTTGCCATCGATGAGAGGTGGTTGCCACCGGTAAGAGGTAGTGGTTAGAGATTGTGGCCGAAAATGATTTCTAATGGTTGGAGATGGTGGTGGGTCAGTTGCCAAATATGGTAGTTGAAAGTGATTTTCAACAAGAGGCGGTGGCCAAAGATGATTACTGCCATGACTAGAAATGATTGATGGAGGAGGTCATCAACATCGCTTGTAGTGATAAGCAATGAGTGGTGGTCAGAAAGAGTAGGAACAAGAAGAAAAAATAAATATGTAAAATCATTTTTTTTGTGTGTGTGTGTGTGTGTTTTAAAACATATATGCAACTGATTGCATGCTTGCAAAGAATTCCACTCAAATCCCACATCCTATAACTGTATGTCCTTGCCTTCAAGTCAACAATTTGTGTGGTATATAAAAATATATTTCAAATTTCTTTTTACCACAATAGCTTGCAAAACAATTCATTGTTTCCACCTTTAGTGCTTCTAGATATGTCAAAATGTTAGGACAAATTTGACATGTGTAATTTGCATCCCTTCCTTTTTAATTTGGATCCTATGCATAAGTCTTCTCCTAATCCATTCAAGCATACTTATTATGGGTTTGTCTATAGTTTCTAATAAGTAGTTATTAAATGGTTTGTACATGTTGTTCACCAATGTATCACACCTACTTCTTGGAATGAAATGAGACCTAGTCCATAAAGCATGATCTATCTTCCTTAGCCACTTGAATGCTTTTTCTTGTGGATTCATTTCCTTCAACTTCTTCATGTGGAATTCAAAATCCCATGTAGTCCTAACTGCAGCTTCTTTCCACAATAGGTCTTTCAATTTCATCCCTTTGAACTTTGGTCTAAAATTTGTGTAAATATGCCTCATACAAAACCTACATTCCACATTTGGCATCAACTCCTCAAATGCAAGCGCCAATCCCTTTTGTCTATCAAAAATAAAAACCCATCCCTTGTCATCAGCACTACTAATATCATCCATAAGTTGCCTCAAAAAACAAATCCAAGAATCCTTAAGCTATGTTTAGTTCAAGAATTTGCGGAGAGATTTGAAAAGAGAAATGGAAAGGATAGGTGAAATGTAAACAAAATATACCTATCTTCCACATAGTTTCACACACATTTTCCCTTTCCATTACCAAATCCCTCCACAAATCCATGAACCAAATACAACCTTAGTCTCTGTCTTAACAGCTACATATGAAATTGGAAACATTATTATTCTCATCCTTTCCAAGAGCACATAACAATTGTCCACTATATATTTCTTTAAGATGACAACCATCTAACCCTATAATGGGCTTGTAGCCTCCAAGAAAGCTTGTTACAACTTTTGGAAAACTGGAGGCAATTCTAAATTGGGGCTAAGCATGTCTTGGTTGGCTTGTCCACCTTTATTTCCAATACACTGTTATGATTACGCAACCTCAGAGTTTCACAATAATTATAGACCATTGCATATTGTGCCCTTTGATTCCCTTCAATAACTTCTCTTTCTTTCTTTTAAGCACTGCATAGTTGAGGCATACTGACATCAACCATTAATATGAAATTCTATATTTTTATATAATAAAAAATAATATATTTTTAAAATTTTTTGTATAATTATTCACATTATTTTGAATTTAATAGTCCATATATTTTTCATACTGAAAATTTGTTCAAAAAATATATTTTTAATACTATTTTATTACTTAATATTAAATTATGAGAATTTTCGTATTTTTATTTTATTTTTTCTCAAACTTTTACCAAACTGAATTACACTGAAACGTAGTCTTTTTCTATACCAAAATCAACCCAACCCTTGCCCAACTTCTTCCTCATGTTTTCCTCCTCCCCATCTATTAACCGAACACACCCTAAAAGTATAATTGATATCGTAGTCCTTTTATCTTTGTATCAATCTATCTATATTTATATATCTATACATGCATACATATATCTCTTACCCTCTCTATCTCTCCCTACTGCTCACACACACACACACACACACATACACACACACACACACACACTCTCTCTCTCTCTCTCTCTGTGTGTCTCTCTCTGAGACCTCGCATTCCCTCATTCCTTTTCATCACAACTTCCATAGCCACCACCTTTAAATATCACCATTATTATTACCATTACCATCACCATAATCATCATTACTTCCGTTAATATCATAATTGAAAGGCTAGGGACCAAAATGACACAAGTCCCAAACTATAGGGACTACTAATGTAATTCACCCTTTATATTATGTAATTGGACTTTAAATGTGGATTTTGGTAATGCATTCAAGTAATAAACTTTGAGGGCATGCAATATCTACCTCAACTGATAGACATACTAGGTTAAGAATACCCCTACCACAAGGAAGAGTGCTAAAGGATGAAGATCCAACAAGAAACCTTGACAAAAATACGATTCAATCGATAAAAATTCCCTTTTCTTGCACAATTTAAGGTGGATCTTTAGCGAAAATAAGTGAAATTAACAGTTTCGAACAAGCGAAGAGAGAGAGAATGACAAAAGAAAGAGTGAAGAAAGTGGAGCAAAAAGTGGTTTTCAGCTGCTTGACTCCGAACAGACTGCTCAAGCAGTCTATCCACCACTCAAGTGGTGTGAAAGCAAGAACTGCTCAAGCGGTGACTTGGTCGCTTAAGCAAAAAAGCCTCCTTCCTAGAATTTCAGACCTACAGACAAGATATTAGATGACCCCCCTTAACCACTCAAGCAGTACTTCCACTGCTTGAGCGGTCACCACTTTCTCAGAACATCATAGACATTATCCTTTAGAAAGGTGAATCCTAATAGGATTCTAGGAAATGGAATTAGAGTCCTACTAGGATTCTGCCATATGGAAATTAGAGGGTAATTTGTGTAGTGAAATTAAGCCGAGCTAGGTTGAAGGCGGTCAAAGATGTTTGACTGAACTAGTAAATGCTCATATTTCTAGACCTAGCTACTTTCTACTGGTGGTCAAATATGTTTGACCAAACTAATAAATGCCCATGTTCCTGGACCTAGCTACTTTCTAGTGGCGGTCAAAGATGTTTACCAAACTAGTAAATGCTCATATTTTTGGACTTAGCTACTTCCTAGTGGCGGTCAACGCCATGGCCAAGCTACCAAGCAAGGCAGTCAAACGGAGTTGAGAGTGAAGCTTCGACAGAACTAGGAAAAAAGCCACATAGTGTCAACAAGATGACACTCCAAGCAAGCTATGCACGCTGCTATATGTCACATGGCTAAGTCAGTGGCGGACAGAGTGAAGTAGTTTAGTTGCTCAGCTGGAAGCCGTGCAAAGAGTCATGCCATCTCACTTGGCTTGTAGTGAAGAAGGTGTCAAAGAATAAGCATTATCCTTCAGGAATGTGATTCCTAAGAGGAGTCTATGAAAGAGAGTTAGAGACCTACTAGGATTGTGCCATGAGGAATCTACAAAAGCTCAAACCAAAACATAATCTCAAGTATTGAAATTATAGTTCCTAATTTCACAGAGCTCTTACTACCGTAGTCTACTTGTTGATTTAGGCATCGAAGGGGTTTCCAGCACACACCCACTGGCCAGACCACATTTGTGATTTCAAGTGTTATGACAACATTTGAAGGAATGCAAGCTTGATCAACAGGATTATATGAGTGAAGATTATTTCGTGCTTGTACAATTGGCGTCGTCTGTGGGAATCTCAAAAAACTTGCCATTTGATCACATATTTATTCAGTAAGCTTTAATGGCGCAAAATAAAGATTTGTTGTATTCTGCTATTGATGGCCAGATGCCAGAAGTGAACAAAAGGCGTAATGATTTGCCTTCTGCTCCACTTATGGCAAATTTGGACCCTCAGTGATGGAACCCTCACAGGGGTACGCAAGAAAAGCAGGGCTTTAACCTTCACCACTCCCAAAAGCCTAGATGGCAAAGGCAACGAATAGATGCCCGGGTTCTGGAGGATTACGTGAAGGAGCAGGACAAGTTGATAAGAAGAATGTCAGTAGACATGGAGGCTTTGAAACGCCAAGTGAGAGGCAAAGGCATGGCAGGGGTGGAGATTCACAAAGGACGAACACGATCTCATTATTTTGGAGATCAAGATGGATATGCCACACCTACACATTCTGATATGCCACACCTACACATTCTGATATGCCACACACACCAACACATTCTGATTCGCAAAGGACGAACACGATCTCATCAAACCTTGCCCAAGTTCATGATCTATGACGGGAAGTTGGATCCTTACATGCATCTTAGCCACTTTCAACAAACCATGGCTATTCATAGAAGAGACAATACTCTGATATGCATCTTGTTTCCATAAAGCCTTGCAGATTTGGGATTGACATGGTTTGAGAGGTTACCAGAAGGCTGCATTGCCTTCTGGACTCAACTCGTAGAGGCATTTGTTAACAAGTTCAAAGCAAACACCAAAATGCCCTTGGAGGTAAACCAATTGCTCGCCATTGACATTGGCGAGAAGGAAACATTGAAGTCATACAACAACAGGTACGGGGAGACATTCAACCAATTTGGTGAATGCCCTACTAACCTAGCTATTGCCCAGTACAAGCGTGGCCTGCCTGTTGGGCACAGAGACAAAATAGGTTGGAAGGTTTGACCAACTTTGGAGAAATCTTTGCTTGGCTGGTGAGCAGCACATAAGGGTAGAGGAGGATGTCTTCTACGCTAAAGCAAGGTCCAACACAACAATGATGCTGGAGAAGAAGGCCACAACTAAAGTTAACATGGTCAGCAAGAAAGGCAAATTAAGCTACCATACCTACAATGACCCTCCACAAAATAATGAGGAAACCAAGGCAAGGAAGTTGAAGGTCCGCACCGCCATCACGACAATTTTCAAGAAGCCCATCTACCAAATCCTCAATGAGATTCGCAATGAACCCTTCATTCAGCGGCTAACCAAATTGGGTAAAGTGTAGAGGGGTTATGATGAGAGGTACTAACCCACCTTCCACGATGAAGTTGGGCACCGAACTAAAGACTACTTTCCATTAAGGTAACATCTAGAAGAACTAGTTGCAGTGGGCCATCTAGACTGTTATATTTAGAGGGGAGCTCAGCCAGCCCCTCGAGACAGAAACATGCCAAATGGAGTGCCAGTAAATGGTCTGCCTCAAGGCGTGATCAACGTGATCCATAGAATCATTGAGCCTGAGCGAGTCTGCAAGCTCAGAGGAATGATAAATAAAGGCGGAGCACATGAGGGTGTGCTAAGTGTTCAACCGACCTTGAAAAAAGAGAGGACAAAAGCAAAAAATGTGATCTCTTTCTCTGATAGGGACCTAGCAAGGTTGCAGAACCCCCATAACGATGCGTTGGTGGTTACCTTATGCGTCAAGAATTTTTATATCAAAAGGATCTTGATCGGTGAAGGGAGTTCATATGAAATCAGGTACCACGAAACCTTCAAGCAATTACAGTCGAATGACAGAGACTTGGCACCAAACACGTCTCCAGAATGGCCAGTTGGCAAGATTATTCTGCCGATCAAAGCTAGCTTGATAGTCAAACGAGTGGAGTTCTGGGTTTTGAAAGTCTCATCCACTTAGAACATCAGAGAGCATGGTTGCATGCAATGCAAGCCGTCGCATCAACCTACCATTAAGTAATGCGGTTCCCAAGCCAAAGTAACCGAGGAGGTCTTGAGAGACCAAATTATGTCAAAGCAATGCTTCGTGATAGTGAACGACAGTTGCACTACCAAAGGATTTGTACAAATGGTTGAAGAGCCAAAGAACAAAGAAATTTTCAAAGATGGGCAACAAAGCGTACCCAAAGGACAACTTTCCTTTGCCAAGGATTGACCAGCTAGTGGACCTAACAGCAGGACACAACCGGCTTAACTTTCTGGATGAATATTGTGCATTCCACTAGATTACATATATGACTGGCCCAAGAGATCAATTCTTTCACGACTCCAAGGGGGTTAGGAGTTTACAACTTAAAAGACGTGGATGGTCGAATCGTGCCAAGACCGTGGAATGCGGCCGATCTGAAGTTGTTTTATTTTTAGCTTTTCAACACTTGTGATTTTCTCTTTCTTTTAATTCAACATCAATAAAATAAGTAAATAGTTTTTCAGATGTTGCTATGTGATTATAATACTGGATAGAATTCCCTAAGTAGGCTAACAGAGCAACGTTAAAATGGCCCTGGGGCTACTACTTCGGTGTGAACTTTGAAAAATCTTTTACCGAGTTGGTTAGCTCAACAAAGTAGGTCGGCATGTCTAACCAATTTTGAAAATTCTTTCTTCGGCTGGTTACCTCGGCAAAGTAGGTTGGCCGGATTGATCAACTTTAGAAAAATCTTTGATCGAGTTGGTTAGCTCGACAAAGTAGGTTGGTAGGTTTGACTAACTTTGGAGAAATCTTTGCTTGACTGGTAAGCTCGATAAAGTAGGTTGGCAGGATTGACCAACTTTAGAAAATATTTGACCAGGCTGGTTAGCTTAGCAAAGTAAGTTGGCAGGTTTAACTAACTTTCAAAAATCTGTGACTAAGCTGGTTAGCTCGGCAAAGTAGGTTGGTAAGTTTGACCAACTTTCAAAATCTTTGACCAAGCTGGTTAACTCGGTAAAGTAGGTTGGTAGGATTGACCAACTTTGGCAAATCTTTGTTAGGCTAGTTAGCTCGGCAAAGTAAGTTGGCAAGTTTGACCAACTTTGAAAAATCTTTGCTTTACTAATTAACTTGGCAAAGTAGGTTGGCAGGATTAACCAACTTTGAAAAAATCTTTTACCAAGCTGGTTAGCCCGACAAAATAGGTTGGAAGGTTTGACCAACTTTGGAGAAATCTTTGCTTGGCTGGTGAGCTTGACAAAGTAAGTTGGCAGGATTGACCAACTTTGGAAATCTTTGACCGGGCTAGTTAGCTCGGCAAAGTAGGTTGGCAGGTTTGACCAACTTTCAAAAATCTTTGACTGGGCTGTTAGCTCGGCAAAGTAAGTTAGCAGGATTGACCAACTTTGGAAAATCTTTGCCTGGTTGGTTAGCTCAACAAGGTAGGTTAGCAGGATTGACCAACTTTGAAAAATCTTTGATCGAGCTGATTAGCTTGACAAAGTCAATTGGCAAGATTGATCAACTTTGACAAATCTTTGCCCAGCTGGTTAGCTCAGCAAAGTAGGTTGGCAAGATTGACCAACTGTGGAGAAATCTTTGCCCGGCTTGTCAGCTCGGTAAAAGTAGATTGGCAAGTTTGTCCAACTTTGGAGAAATCTTTGCTCGGCTAGTTAGGTCGATAAAGTAAGTTGGCAGGATTGATCAACTTCAGTAAATCTTTGACCGAGCTAGTTAGCTCGGCAAAGTGGGTTGGCAGGATTGACCAACTTTGAAAAATCTTTAACTGAGTTGGTTAGCTCAGCAAAGTAGGCTGGCAGGTTTGACTGACTTTGGTGAAAATCTTTGTCCGGCTAGTTAGCTCGGCTAAGTAGATTGGCAAGATCGTCCAACTTTGGAGAATCTTTGCCCGGCTGAATAGCTCAGCAAAATAGGTTGGTAGGATCATCTAACTTCGGAAAATCTTTTCCCGGCTGAACAACTCGACAAAGTAGATTGGTAGGATTGTCCAACTTTGAGAAATCTTTGACTGAGCTGGTTAGCTCAGCAAAATAGGTTGGCAGGATTGTCCAATTTTGAGAAATATATAATTGAGCAATTTTGGTGAGCCCGATTGGATGAGGCAAAGTAGCTTGGTTGGACAGAGTAATCCCAATCATACATTGCATATGGAATTAATGGGAAATTGAGAGGGTAATTTGTGTAGCCAAATTAGGTCGAGTTAGGTTAGAAGGCGATCAAAGGTTTGTCCGAAGCTATGAGAACTCGAATATACAAATAAAATAAATAATTAAATAATAATTATTTTACAAACCTCAAATATTTTACTTGTGAATCTTAAGGTGCAAATTAAATATTACTGAACAATCTTTTAATTAATTTTAAACCTAAAATAAATATACGGTGAAAGTTTTTAATTTAAAGGCAAGATTTATTATTTTAAAAAAAAGGACAAATTAGTAAGTATATTTTGATCTAATAATAGTTGTATTTTATTTAAATTAATGGTGAGAGAAAATAAAATAAAATGAAACAAAGGATAATAATTTAGTCTTTTAGGTTTAGATATATAAAGTAATCCTAGTTTTCCTAACAATACCATAGCAACAGCAACAACAACAGCAGCGTGAGAGTGGGTTGAGAGGGAGTAGAAAAGAGGTAGTAACAAAGAAAAAAATTTGGGTGTGTTCTCTAGTTTTCTTCTTCCTTTTTGCTTTTTTTTTTTTAATCCTTATTCTATTAGTATTTAATTCATTGATGGAGAGATTGTAGGTGTATGTATTTTTGTATATATAAACTGTTAAGAAATATGAGAAGCTAAATTCATATGTAAAGAATGGGTGTACAAAATCACAAACTTTAGAAATATAGAAACCATATTTAAAAAATGACTTTTAAGCTAAGATTTTTACAGTAATATAATTACATATTGAATTTCATACTAGAATTTTCTTATAATTTTTGGAAGTCAAAATCCATATAAACTTATGCGTTCAAATCTGTCTAGAAAACTAGTACAAAACAGTAACTTCGGAAGTGTCATTCTCTTTGGGTGTAAATTCAAAAATTATCAAATCAGCGTCATTAGAACCGGTTACGAGTCTAGTTTCTTACATTTTTTGCTTGCATTGATTTCTCTTGTATACTAAGAGAACTGTCAATTAAAGTGCTGCAGAAAGAGACTTGTTTGGATATAATTAATTTTAAATAATTGTTTTGATAAGAAAATCAAGTAAAACCAATTGGGTTTGAAATTTATGATATATTAGTTGATATCTGGAAGGTTTTGAAATTTTTTGAACAGCATGGAGTGGGTTTTTGTAGACGTGCCCGAACGTCCCCGTCTCCGCACGCGAATTGGCACGAAATCTGTTTTGTTCATTAGCTACTACAGTTCGGACTCAATGTCACGGTTCTGAATCTAATCTCGCAAAGTGCAATGCAAGACCGATAAATCACCAAAGAGTCCAAATCCGGCAAATCGTTTTGGAAAACTGTCAATTAAAGTGCTGCAGAAAGAGACTTGTTTGGATATAATTAATTGTAAATAATTGTTTTGATAAGAAAATCAAGTAAAATCAATTGGGTTTGAAATTTATGATATATTAGTTGATATCTGGAAGGTTTTGAAATTTTTTGAACAGCATGGAGTGGGTTTTTGTAGACATGCCCGAACGTCCCCGTCTCCGCACGCGAATTGGCACGAAATCTGTTTTGTTCATTAGCTACTACAGTTCGGACTCAATGTCACGGTTCTGAATCTAATCTCGCAAAGTGCAATGCAAGACCGATAAATCACCAAAGAGTCCAAATCCGGCAAATCGTTTTGGAAAACTGATTTTAATAAAGAAGTGTCAAATATGGACTGCTTTGCCAGATACAAAGTCGCCACCTAAGTATTTTGTTTTCGAGGGAATTTAGGAAACCCTGACTCGTGCCTAAGGCCACGTGTCCGTCATCACCAAAGTTGTCTCGGCTCAGGAACATGGGTACAAGAGGGGAAGGTCATGCAATGGGCACCTCCACTTGCCCAATCAAAAGATCGGTCTTTACTAACATGATATTTTGTTTTTGAAAACACGTGCGTTCTTATTCCGGTTATTAGCCTAGAATTACTATGTGATGCGCACAACACACAAGTATAGACTAGATCGCCTAAGTTGGAACAAAACATCTCATGTTTGTTTGAAAATGGTTTGAAGGTGCTACTCGCAAGTAGGCTAAGACGTGGATTTGCCACCCTCGAGTGGGCTTAGAAAACACGATTTTGCCACCCTCAAGTGGGCTTAAAACTCGCATTTCAATGAATTGTTCCAATTCAAGCGATCCAACCTTCACCGACAGGCATTCATGCAGCTATATCATTTAAGCGGTTAGCCTCATGGCAAGTATGCTGTCATGGCAACACTCACATACATGCAAGATGCTAAAGCATAAACACTTATAGTGTACTCCGAGCCAAAACAACAACTAGTTAGTAATCATGCATGATCCTAGTTATGTTAAGATAGCTAATGCTACACATGCAAAAATGCAACTAAAATAGGCTCGGCTATTCTAAGATGGCATGTGAAATGCAACTTGATAATCATGTATTCAAATCGGTATTGAAATACAATGCGGTTTGTATGATGCGCCGAGCCCGGTGCATTCAATACGAATGAATGGATGCAAACATGCAAGCATAGGAATGCTAATTGAAATATGACCTAGAACTAACCATTGTAAGCGGTTAAGTAAAAGGGAGAAAGACGTGGGGTTAGAAGACATTCACACACTCACGCACACTTATTACAAAATTGGCCCTCTCAATAGAGGGTCCGAATGAATCAACTAGCTAGCTACGCTACACTAATTAATTATTACAAAACTTTAACTAATTAAGAAAATTAATTAAGTTACAAAACCAACTAAGTAAGGAAAGAAAAGAGCTAAAACAAAGCTGCCACAGCCGTGCCTCGGAATGATAAATGATGCATGCTCGATCA